ATGTATTGTAGACCAGCCTTAAGAGAAACAAAGTTATTCGAGAATTGCCCTGCGATTTATGTATCTATCGTGAAAATTCATAATCGATCTAGAAATTCACGATCTACAGCAATATCAACTTTTTTAAAGATCAGATTCCAGAACGATGATAAAAGGAGCCTAAAATATTCGTAATCCGATTTTATGTTTGAAATCATCTCAAGTGCGATCTCAAGATGATGTACGGTCATTTCATTGGATCGAGTCTTAGAAGTAACCAAGACCAGACTTAAGATTAATCTTAAATATAAAAGATCGGGCTGTAAATACTACTATGAGAACGTATTCTGCAATCATCTCTTCTTCAAACTAATATTCCTTTTATCCGATATCAATTTTATATATTATAATTTTGCCCAGAGAAAAGTCTCCTTCTTCGCCATATCGTTATTCAATTATATTTTATATTCACTGAGCTTTTTATGCTCCCACGTTCATTAAACTCATAATTGCATTTAAATGTTCTTTAATTAACGTGTATCCGGCAAGCGGATTTATTTCCTGTCAGGATGGGCACGAAATTTATTATCTCTCCATTTCTTCTCGCGAATAATTCGGTACTGCAAGATAAAGATTTTACTGAAGAGATTAAAGGATCGGCGGGATCCAATTGAATTTTAACTGTAGCGCTTTAAGCGATTCGTTCTATTAGCTGCCGAACTTAAACCGAGAAATCGTAAAAATTCCACAATATCGCCGATAGATAATTAACGGAGATTAAACGTGTAAAAAAGTTCAATCGTATTAAACGGTAAAATTAAGCAACTTTGAAAAACGCGAGTAGTCACTTAAGATACTCGTACGTGCAAATTGCACGTACAGAAAACCCGACTGTGCAACATCGTCTAAAATCTTTCAGTCTCCGTAAATTTCTTCCCACGGGCGTGCTATTCGCCCGTATGCCGTCATCTGATTATTATCTAATCATTATGTAATTGTGGTTGTATTACAGAGAAGCAACCTGGCCGTACCCGTAGTCGAACTGCCTCCACACATCCATATGCATCATCACGCACCGCCGCACGATTATGACGGCAATTAGAATTGTTAGCAAGACCAGTACCATCACATTATAAACTATAATCGTAATCAGGAACAAGTACAAAGCGTCTCGCGTCTCGCGACAAGCAACTACGATCGATTTGTTGATAGACTTCCGTCGATAGTGACGGAATTCACCCGATAGACATGTTTGCACAATATTGACAAAATATTTCGTCGTTGACGTTCGCGATTACGAAGAAAGAGCTTAAACGTATCTGTAAAGCAAAACGCGTGCGCCGCTTTTCCGCACATTTGATAAATCCGTCGAAGAACCGACGCTATATACTGAACTTAATTGATAAAATGGTATAACGTGGCGCTAAAGTGGTTTTTCTCGTAGCCGCGAGTTTTGTACAATTAATCAATCCGCGGGACAGTATAATCGTCCTGAGGCGAAGCGTTCGCCGCTTTATTCGCCACTTTAGAAAGTATTCAAATACATTGAGGTAACGTGATTTAATACTATCAGGATACACCGGAGAAAAATCTTAAATTAAAAAGTTACGAGCCAGCATGCATATTAATTCTTGGCCTTGCGAAACGAAATTTTCTTCGATGTGATATGCGATCAAGATAGACGGTATCAAGATCGACGATCGAGTAAAGTACTTAAAAAAGTTAATGTCACAGTGACGTTTTATGTAACAACTGAATGCTTTACGTAAATGGACCGTGAACGTTTTACCCTCCTCGAAAAAAATATCTGTTTTTTCTTGAACGCTTGTTGAGATCTGAGCATAACCCTGGCACAGTGCATTCACCAAACATTGGGTTAAACATTGGCCCAATATTTGGTTGTATTTAGCCAATGTACTGTGCTACTAGTGGAGCATGTAAACGTGTTTTTGATATGTAAAAATGAAGAGGAATATTTTTCTCCGTACTCCTTCGCTCTTTTCGAAACAAGTAAAATTTCTGGTGGAATAACTTTCCCCGATCCTTTATCTTTGGCCTTTCTTTGCACGTCGAGTTCTCAATTGTCGCAAAATCATCATCGCGAGATAGGAATCCACGGCATCTTCATGTCCAAATTCTAATTTAACCAACATCGGCTCGATCGAGAGAGCAATATGCTGAACCTAACGATAGACGATGAACAACCCTTCCGTCCTACGCCAGTGAAACCAAACAATCCGATGTAGCTACACACATGATGGCGATCACTGATATCTCTAATGATATCTCTTCGAGCATATTCACGCTACTCTCGCACGAAATCTAACGTTCGATCTATGCACAGAACAATATTCGAACGCGTTCTGTAAATGCGTTCTCTTTTTACGAGAGGCTGCCTAAAGTGTAATTGTACACACGCAAGTATTCTGTAAATATCGCCGCGACAAAAGCAGCAGTGAGATTCGTAATGGGACTATTTTATGCAGATGTGGCTGAGAGTGAATAATCGTTAGCGCTAATCGAGTACAACTTTAGACGTTTGGTGTTATGTAACGTGTGCTGTAATATGCTGATAGCCGGCGAATAAACGTACGATAAGAGGACGATTACTGTCTCTTCCTGATCCTCTTCAAACTATAATTTACTGATTTTAAGAAATAGTTAATATACGATGAATTTCATTTTAATCTTAGAAATTAAATTCCAGTTCAATGCTGACTGAACTAAGATCAAAATCAGCCAGCTAATCGATGCTGCAGGAATCATCGATCTTCCGACGTCACTGAAGAATAGCGCGTTTCAGCGACGAGATCGACGAATCGCTCTTACAATTAGAGGACGGTAAGGATAAAGGAACGTTCCGACTGCCCCTTTTTTATATAACATCATTTATTAAGGGATAAAATAAATGACAAATAACATATCTCACTTATATGAAACTATAATATTTCTTAGTGTTTCATTATTTGTTATGATATAAAAGAAATCACATCATATACGACCCCCTCCCCCGGCCGCGCGTACGGCGGCGGTCGTTCGAGTCTTACACGTAAGCAGATAGACGACGGAATCGACGACTCGCTCGTCGTCGACGAATATGCGCAAAGCAGTGAGAATTCCCAAATGAATCTCTTCGAGAGATCGCGAGCTCGCGTCGATCCATGATAAGACTAGGCTTCGACCGCGAAGCTTAATCGAATCAACATGACCGAGATGTTACAGCGAGCTTCGCAAAGCAAGGAATTCCATCTGACACAACTCTCCCGGAATCTCTTCCTCGTCGGTGAAACCGGTGGATTACTACTACAAGGGATGTCTTCCTCAGCCGCGTCTCGACAGCTCGGGATTTGAATCCAGAGCGTGAAATGAGAAAAAGTGTCCTTGCCTTTTCAACGCTCTAGATCTCCGATCACCGGAAGTGTCGATGTGCAATCGAGAAAAAAAACAACACCCTCGATGATAATAATCCGCTTGATTATCCAAAAGGGGGGAGGGGGCCTAGTCAAATCACTTGTAATTATCACACAATCATTCCCGATACGGTGGCATGTACTATTTTAATATGCTTTTTGTGACTTTCGGAGGTGGACCATCATTCAGCTATGCACAGCTGTGCATTTCTCTCCCTAACTCTTTCACTCTCACTTACTCTCTTTCTCTCTCTCTCTCTCTCTCTCTCTCTCTTACTCTCGCACTCTCTGGGAGCTTGCACTCATTCGAGACAATTGGACGACGAGTTTAGAGCCGATTCAACACATATATATACATATACACACATATATGCCCCTTCTTTTTACCGTGAGACGGTCTCTTAAAACTTCACCGATCGCGCGTTATCTTGCTTTGCTCTTCTCCGCACTTTCTCCCTTTCTCTGTGCTCGTCCACCTCCAGGATTCTCACTATACACTTTACCGAGGCATCAACTCGACTCGAAATTCCGACTCGCCCTGCCACGCGTGTCCAAGAGAGAAACAGTAATGAACAAAAGTGAGGCGAAAGGCGCAGCACGATCAGACACGAAGCCCAGACAACGCAAACGTCGAAATAATTAATAATTTAGATGTTTTAAATATTTAATGATGCCATTAATGATAAAGGCATCACTGAGGAATCTTATGGATGTTTGTGACGATTATATGTTTTGCTATGTGACAATTAGAGATCTTTCATCACAAAGACGTCTCATTATTGGCTCGATGTCTGATCGCACTCTGCCTTTACCTACTTAATCGTTACATAAAAATCTCGATTTCTTCCGCATTTCGTTCCTTACTCTACCTGTTTCTTCCCACTCTCTTTCTCTCTCTATCTCTCTCTCTCTCTCTCTCGCTTTTTCTTTCGATACCGTGCCTCTTAGAATTATCGCGAAATTATAATTCGCGTGCAACTTCGACGAGGATCTCTCGCATTTCTCAATTTTCGAAAGAAAAGAATAAACATGAAAGATCTGGAGCAGGACGTCATTGTTACAACATCCTCCTCGTTACAACGACGATTCTCTTTTCCTCTACAAGCCTCGCGCGTATTTTTTCTTTCTCTTTTTGCTTCTCCTCATTCTCTTTCTCTCTCTCTCTCTCTCTGTCTCGCGATTATTACATTATGAGATCAATCCACGCATACGATTATCGCGGACATGTTGCAATTTGTTACTGCTCTCGCTACATCGATCGATAACGTAAATTTCGTTCGCCGAGCGTAAAATAAACAATACGAATGATGACAAAACTTGAGCGAGAAACGGGAGCAAAGAGATAGAATTAGTTACAGTCGAAAGTGGAATAAAAGTTTAAAAGATTTAAGTGTTATTTAAAAAAAAAGATTAGATAAGCGACAGCGTCGAATAAATAATGCAAGCGCGAGAAGCGAATGAAAAATAAATGGAAATTTTTTAAAGAGAAAAAGGGGGAAAAAGGAAAAAAGAGCAGGAAGAAAGTGCGAGTAATACGTAGCTCCTTTCGGATCATGTTAAATAAAAATAAAATCTTATGTAAAATCTAATTTCTTACGTAATCTTCTTCCAAATGTATTAAAAACACATTGTTATCAGTTTTATATAAAATCCAGAAAATTAACATTCGCTCTCGATACGCCGATGCGATTTTCGGCGAAGGTGTTACTCGTTTTTGAGAGCGTCGCGACGTAACTATTCTAAAACGCGTAGGCATTACGGTAATTAACGAACATTCACTCATTGGTGGTTCGCGCCGGGAATACATACGCAAATCTGTACCAACGTTCGCTTAACACGGAATTACGTAAAATCAGTACGAATGGAAATCATGATACTTATAAACTAAACACGCGAGAAAAGCTCGATTTTCAACAGATATTCGGACATGTAAGGCGATCAAATATTATAAAACATCCGCGAGTAAAATATTTCGAACATTTGTAATTAGTGCTGAGTAGAATACGGTTTTCTTCTGATTCTGTTAACACATTAGATAATTAGGTAACATATTACTAAAATTCGGATCATCACAATGATACTTCTTGCATATCTCTTTGGTTTCAACTGCACGGGCTCTCGCGAATCTAATTAAAAAACGATACAGCGCAAATCTAATAATCAACAATTTTTATCCCTGCCGATTCGACATGTACATCCTTGTGGAAAAAAAAGAAAAACTGTCCAGAGTTTTCTAAGTTTATCGATTGCGAACTCGTATAATTCATTGAGAGAATTAAAGAGATAAATAGATAAATAGATAAATAGAAATGAAAGAGAGAAGAAGCTAAAAAGAAAGTTTCCAAGTAAAGCCTAAAATGAAATAATTTAAAAAAAAGAGAAAGGAGAGAAAGAGAGAGAGAAATTGAAAATACTGTCATTAGCGAGTGTCCGTCGCATCGGATTGCAAAATCCTTCGCCACGCCCTTTTCTATTACCACTCGCAAACAACGGCAAGATACGTTACACAAAGCGAAGAGAGAAAAAGATCGCCAAAAAGTGATTGGTTCTGTCGACTCGACTTCCATTCCGGCGAGCTGAACTGTAAGCGACGCAAACGTTTCTTTTTTTCTATTTTGAACTCTTGGTGATATGTGGAGGCGTCGCCTAATAAAAAGAAGAAAAAAAAGGAACCGCGTCGCTCTGTTGGTCGAAAGGTCTCGCTGCTACTAATCGTTTGATTTTACATCATTCGGACGATCCGTACGTGCTTTTGCGTGCGTACGCGCGTCTACAATCATACTTTGGAACAACTTCGTTTCACCGGAATCCGTCACTAGAGTGACAAGCATTATTCAGCGTTTATCAGTAGACTAGATGAGTACGGCCAGAAATCGAAGTCGGTTATTCGCGGTGATTAATTCAAGTCCTAGACGTATAAATTACAAACAATTTCCACGAGATTTTAAAACTGCGCGTTTACAATAGGATCACGATAGAATTCTAATGTTTTATAAGAGAATTTACTCGATATTATTATATTAAATACAAGTTTTTATGCATACATGCATAATATGTACATTTACATATAAATATTGTGCACACGTAAATATTGAAAACTTTAATATATACGTAATATGTGTGTGGACGTATATTACATACATATTGAACGTATTCCATATTTACATATGTGATAAATAAAAATTTAATTTCTGCAACCTTCAAGACTCGAATTGTAATGTATCGAAATTGCACCGACTTCAATTATCTGGCGCGGATCTTTTTTTTTTACCCACTTTGCGCCACTTATATAGTCGATCGTTCGCTGAATCGAGATCAGAGGATCGTTCACGGAGAACAAGCTCGCGATTCCAAAGTAACCGATTATCACGTCCTTGAGCGCGCCTGCGTATACGCACGCATACACACGCGCACAGTTATATAATAAAGAGACACCCTAATTACAAACGTTACAGGTAGAATCGTCAAACCTCCAGCTACGTGCGCATCTTAAATACGCACTCTCTCCCTCTCGCTCTCCCTCCCTTTCTTTCGCCGAGTTAATCGTAAATATGCGTATATATGTATCTATATATATACATATATATATATATTCGCTTTTTTATGTGTATGTGTGTATACATATATATAGATATATGCGATCACAGAACACGTATATTTCGCGTGTAATATTTTGTGCCACGTTGTTTTTCGCATGTACGTGTATGAATACGTGTATGTGTGTTTGTGTTGCGTGTCTGTATACCTTAACAATCTATTATAAGAATTTGATTTGTTTAAACAGCCTCTCCTCGATCCTCTTCGTACACAACACTCGGACGCCGTACGAACGGCGTCCCCGCACGATCGCAATCAATCGCCGAGAAAGGGACAGGACTCCGTCAGGCGTGGGTCGCGACTCCCATCGCTTTATCAAGATTTCTCTCTTTCTCTCTCACTCTCTTCCTTTCTTTTCTACATAGTGCTTTATTAGAACGCTACGCCGAAGGCATTGAAATTCGTTGATAAGCGCCCTCGCGCGCGCGCGTAATATCGGGCGTCGAGAAATTGGTGTTCCCGTGAAAATTCTCGGTCGGTCCTTTCGGTGACGCACGCAGAACTAATAATCCCAAGCCGCGTTCTCTGAGCTACGCCTCTCGTCTCCTTCAGGCGCGAGTCGTCGTACAGAGCATAAGGATTCTCCTCGCTGTCCCGAGACACCGAACGAATTTCCCCTCTCGCGTTGAAGCACGACGCGAGAACGCGGCATCCCGCTGCTAATCTCAAGGTGGAAAAGCAGCCCTAGGCTTACGATGGTGCATGGGTTAAAGCTGAGTTCGCGACGCTTCTCGCGCTCGGTTAAACGACAGCGGCGCATCATCCCCTCGGTAAATAAACACAGCCGATAGGCATTGCTTCTCTCCGCGCGTCGCGTGCGCGCGTACCGCGACGAGCGCGTGCACGCGGCCGCGGGATCGTCCTACAATCTAAGGTTTGCTCGGTACACGCGTATGATGAAATTGGTAAGTGGGTACAATCTTATGTTAGCTTTCACAGGTTTTTTTTTCTTTTTGCGGGACAGGGATGAAACGAAGATAAAACGCGTTTACACAGACGCGAAAGACGATCTCTCTTGGCTCGACGTTAGCGTCGTACGCAAGAATCCGGCGTTCCTCTTGACCGGAGGCGGAGTGCGCGTACCAACGGGAACTCGGGGGAAGTCGAGCCAAATCGGATACGTGGGAGCCGCGGAGGCTCCCGGATAGGATCGCGACAACGGAATTAGAAGTTAATTAGATTCCTTAATTTAGCCTTACGATATTAAATTTTCCACTTCTCAACGAGCCAGCTACACAGGTGGAGAAGAAGAGACGAGATGTTCGCGCGGAGCTACGCATCTTTCTTTCTTCTGCTTAATATATGAGTGCGCATTGCGGTGATGCGTTTCCTTCGGCGAATCGCGCGCAAGATCGAAATTGCGAACGCAATAAGAAGGGTGTACGTACATGTATGTGTGTGGGTGTGTGTTGTGTGTGGATTGGTGTGTATGTGTGAAGTTAAAAGCGCGACTCGAAAGCTTCTAACAGGCGAGAGCAAACTTTTTTTTTTAACAGATCTGAAACGTAAACGAAACGCACAAATAACAGTCTGCTACGAACGTCGAACGTAGAAAAATACAAGTGTCTATGTACAAAACAAATTATAAATCCTTCCTCTCCTTGTCATGTCTTGTCTGTTCCAAACAACAATCTCTTCTTCCGTCCTTACGATCTCCTCAGAAACACGTGAAGAGGCGCTCCATTCGCCACGAGCTGTACCACGCGAATAGACGAACTGGAACGTGCGATCGACGTGTTCGCGAGCCGCTCGAGGAACGAGAACGCGGTTGGTCTCGTCATTGAGGCGCCGTCGGATGAAGAATCGCAGCTGAATGTGACCAAATATTACGATCTTCTGTTTTTCCCCCACAATCAGCATCCTCCTTTTCCTCCTCTCGATCTTTCGTTATCGCCTCTTTTTTCCAAAATGAAGACTCGCTATCGTCGCGATTTACGAGTCGACGATGAAGCGGCCTTATGATAGCGCGTACACGTGTGTGTGTTTGTGTGCGTGTGTATGTGTGTGTGTGTGTGTGTGTGATGTTCTTGTACAAGACTCGATGATATCGCGCTCGCATGTTCCTTCCATGCCGTGCGCATTAAGTCTGCGAGTCCACGGCATGGAGCGTGGCGCGAGAAAACAAATCGACAAACTGCAGACTGACAGACAGCAGACAAACGAGGGAGCGACGTGGAGCTTCGCTTTAGGTCATATACCGCATCACGGCACGAAGGGCGTACAGCAGTTCCGCTTGCATGCGAGCCTCTAAGATCATCAGGTTCACGTGGACCTGGAAAACAAAGGGAAGGGGGGCGAGTGTTTAGCAACGTACAACAGTCCCGTTTTCTTCCAGCCGGAGCTGCGAGAATACATTTTTACGTTTCGCGTTTCATCGCGATAAAAGTCTTATCGCGGACGTTTAAAATGGCTAATTCCAAATGCATAATGCGTTTCGTGCGAGCTAATCGGCACTTTCTATCGCGGGACTGGCAGCGGTTATTTTCAGCCGAACAGTGTCAAGTATTTTATATTTAACACGTTTAACTTGTAAGCTTATTTGCATAAGCCGCCATTTATTTAAATTTCTAAGATTCGTTCGAAGTAGGAAGTGCAACCTTATTGCGCTATCAGTATAATCAGCACGTACGTTAAGTTTTTCCAAAAGATATCGGTACCGCAAAACTGCATTCTCTTTTATTTCTCAATCAAAGCCATCTCAATTGAGCCGGACCGAGGATATTTCTGTGCCTACCTTTTCACTGTGCTTGAACTCCTTCATGACGCGATTGTAATCCCTCTTTGTGACGCGCTCCGGATAGCAAACTGCGCTCTTGATGAAGGTTTTGAGGCTACGCTCGAGCAATTGATTCACCTCGTTGTAATCATAATCGTCGTGCCTGATGCCAAACATGCACTGTATGTAGTTCCAGATCGCGCGTCTGAAGCGCGACGTATCGACCTTGTTGTGCGTGCCCATAGTGTAATACGTCAGATTGTACGCGGTCTTGAATTTCTCGTCGAGGAGATTGCCGACGTCGTTGTACAGGCGGTTCACCAGGGAGTAACCGTGATCGTCCCAGGAGTAATCCTGGACGCGGAAGGTCGGTATGTCGTTCAGCTGGCCGCGCTGCAAAGAAATGTTCGAGTTAGCGAGCGAGGAAGGAGACGGGAGGAAAGTTGCATCGATAAAAAGTCTCGCGAAAGAGAACGTAAAAGAAGTTACGTCGAGAAACGCAGGAGATATACACGGGCGGCAACCGGCGGCGAAGCGACTTTTTTTTATTTTTTTATTATCTCGCGCATTAACGCGTGGCGTAAGCGCCCGTGTGCCCCGCCTTCGTAGCCTGTCTTAAGTCAGCCGATACACAATGTCGTCGCGCGGTAAATATTCATAGTAGTTACGCGAGCGGAGCCGTAAGCCGACGCGCTCCGGCTTTAAATATTCATGGATGAGCCCGCGCGCGCTACCTTGGAATATCGTCTCTCTTTCGGCTCTGATCCATTACACGCTACTTATCCGGGCGTGTAAAAACGGCGAGAAATCGTCGCGCCGCGTTGTTGAATAACACGAGGGTCGCGCGAGTTACGTTACGCGGAGAGTATTTTCTCTTCAAATTTACCCTGCAAATGACGTAATCGTGGAACAATACAGCATTTCGAAGAATTTTGCGAGAGTTTCTTGAAAGTCTACTGCACGGAGAGAATTTTCTCTTTAAATTTACCCTGAAAATGATATGTAATTGTAGGACAACACGGCATTCCAAAGAATTTTATAATAATGATACTTAGTAGGTGGCGACCGAGACCACCGAGAGTATCCTGTCACACATACCCCTTTAGGGGTGTAGCCCTCCAGATAGGAGATGTCCTTCGGCAAGATTAGCAGCCTACCGAAGATGAAGTAAAACCAAATGCTCAAAGTACCAGAACGAGAACTGGATAAAACAGGAAGAAGAAGAAGAAGAAGATACTTAGAATAAGATACTAGTAAAATGTACGGCAAAATTTCGAAAAACTCTCATAAATTCTTGAAAATGCCGCGTTGTCCCACGATTACATAATTTTCAGGGTAAATTTTAAGAGAAAATTCTCTCAGTGTGGTAAAATGTATGGTACAATTTTCCAAAAACTCTCACAAATTCTTCGCAATGTCGTACTGTCCCACGATTATGTAATTTTCAGGGTAAATTAAAGAAAAAATTATCTCCGTGTATCAAGGCGCGAATGGACGAGTCCGGTATTAAGATACACGCCGGCGAGAGGCTCACCTTGGCGAAATCCTGGTAGATGAAAGTTGGATCCTCGATGAATAGACCGATATCGGAGTCGAGGACCGAGCTGCTCCTCTGCGGCGCCGCTGCCAGCTCGGCCGATTGCGTCTCGACCGTCTCGAATCTCTTGGAGAGCTCCTCCTGCGTGATCTGATAGGACTCGGACTTCTCCGAGAGACGCTTCATACGTTCCATCAGGGTCGCCACTCCGACCTCCTCCTGGTCGCCGACTATGCTCGGCGACGACGGCGGCGACGGTACGTTTTCTGTAAAATTGCCGATAATCTTTATCCGCGGTACGTTACCATAAAATTTTAGTAACGTAACGAATTATTTGACGCCAGTACATGATTGACTAATGTAGAAAGATTGCTAAACGACGCTAACTGGCAAATTCTAATTCCACTTTAACGGCCCAAAAACTGTGCTTATCTTTAAGAATTTTTTCTCAGTAAATACACCATACAATAATATAAATCTTTTTGAGATTTATTAGGACACTTAAATAATACCAAAAAAATTTTTGTCACAATTTAAACGATTGAAACAATTAAAAAAAAAGGTTTCGAAAAGTACTTTTTAATACTTTTTCAAACTGGCACTATTTTGTTATTTTTAAATAAAAATTATTAATTGAGGTTCGGGACATAGCAACACTCATGTAGATTAAGAATCTTTTTGATTTTTTGTTTCAGGTAAGCCTGAATGATAAAAGTCCTCAACGCAGCGGGCTTGCATCTTTTTTGACACGCCATTCGAACGGTGTAGAAAACGCTTAATAGTAGTGAAACAGGGAAGTCCAGGTTCAAACTCTGGCTGAGGTAATATTTTTCGCAATAAGTTTCTTTAATTAGAATTTGTCAGTTAGCGTAGTTTAGCAATCTTTCTACTTTGATACAATTTCAGTAAGAGATGACGATCGCGTTTGTACGCGTTATTTATAGCAAGTGCATCCACGTACCAGTCTTGCCGTCTCCGTTGGGGATCTTCTTAGGGCTGCTCGCGAGCTTATCTTTGGCAGGCGGTACGTTACCACTATTGTCCTTGTTCACCTTGTAGTAATGGCCGGCTATGTTATCCAGTTCCTCGTTAATTCCGCAAGAAAATACAAAGGACGATAACGAGTGGAAGTGAGCTAACAGGACTATCGCATGAACGACCTCCGCTAAGGACCAATTATCGTCGCCCCTAGTCAATTTCTGAAAGTACAAGCGCTCGCGTTACAATCCGACGCGTCTCCTCGAGCGCGTACGCGCGATTCCGTCCGCGGGTCCCGCGCTTACCTCGATGTGCGACTTGTTCAGGAGCCACGGTCTGTGAGCCAGGATCTTGTTGATCTCATAGAGATCCTGCAGCTTACCCGGCATCGATCTCAGGCCTTGGAGCCACGAGGGGTCACCGCCCTGAATAACGAACTCTCCCTTCTGCAGGTTTATAAGGTAGCTGCATTGGTGCCGGCCCGCAGCCTGAAATTACACCGAGATACATCTCCACAAACCTGTTCTCGTCAATTTATCTCTCTTTCGTATCGCGCGCGACACTTAATGCCACCCTCGGATAAACGTTCCTAGCGTAATCGGTCTCTCCTACGCGTTCACCATGAGATTACTATCCGTCGGAATCGCGTATCGCTAAGCGGGATCGCAAAAATTCCCGGCGGTCCTCCCCGAAAAGGCCCGTGGCTGCGGGCGTTCCGCTAATTAATTGATAAACCGCGATTTAAGCGCGCATTAAGGAGACGAGATCTACGCGCGCGATAGGGAAACGTCTCGTGCGCGGCGTGCGGCTTCAAGTGACGTTTCAAATGCCGTGTAATACGATGTAATATAATTACAGTCCAATGCGCGCCCCGCGCTACGTAATAAATCAACTAATTTATGGCCGTTAAGCTTCGACGGTACGGGCCTCGTAATCTCGATTATCGTGCGCTCACCTCGGGCCGTACATCACAATAAGCAGATACGCGGGGCCTGCGGAATTAGCTCCGCAGATAGTGCCCACCGATAAGACGCTGTCCGCGGGGAAATAAGGGCGAGTAAAAACGATCGACGGCAACTTTGCGCCCGCGAGGAATTTCTATTTCGCGCATCGAGTGCCGGATACGGTGTCGCGTAAGAAAACCTGGTCCAACTTCTAGTTTCGAGAAATGTGTATTTCTATGGAATAGTTGCAAGTCGATTGGCTACTCTCTAAAAGTCTATCACTGAAAACAGTGAATATTCACCGATTCACAGTTACAGTGCCCCGTAAGTTTGGAAACGCCCTATATTTTACAGATAAATAATGGCACAGCAGCGATCTGTGCACATGTTTGGTACAAATATATCGTAAGGCGTTTAAATAACGATAAAGTTACGATACGTTTAAATAACGAATTAGACAGGAGGATTCGCAAAGAGCGAATTACAAGTGAAGTGCATCTCTGGGAGATTCTCCGGCAAGAATGGAAACGTATCCCGATCGAATCTCTGCAAAAGTTAATCCATCGCATGCCGCGGGTATGCATGGCAGTCATTAAAGCAAAAGGTGGTTACCTTGAGGAATCTAAAATTTAATTTAAATCTTTATTAACAGCTTGCCGTATGCACGTGTGTATCTTCGTTTTAGTTTCTTTTTAGTTAAATAGCAGTTGAATTTATTTAGTTAAATTAAACTTACAAAGCAAAATACACCGATTTTATTATGTAGTTCCTTCACATCACACACTTTTATAAAGTGTTTCCAAACTTGTGGAGGGCACTGTATAAGTATAGCACTAAATTATTCAGTGCTATACTTGTAACTGTTTTCAGTGATAATGCACTGATTGACTTTCAGAGAGCACACGTTTCTCGGAACTGGAACTTCACGGAAAAACAATGTAGCTGCCGTCTCAGATGCGCTCATGGTCTCGCGTTACCACATATCGCGCCAAAGGGATGAACGTTAATAACGGGAGATTTAACCTAATGATGCGGCGAGTTGCTCCGTGAAAAAAAAACTGCATGTGGTAACTAAATTTCAGTTGTAAAATACGGACAGCTAGTATTTCATTGTGGCAGGCAGTACTTTGCTACTGTGCCTATTGCATTACGCTGTAAAAAGTTACATGTAAAATTACAATTATTATAGTGGGTAATATTGGGACCATCTATTAAAGGTGTATATTTACATGCGTCAGTGAATTTACACCTTGTAGATAAAGTCTTATATAGCAAGTAAACTGCTTGCTTTTAATTGTGTAGATTTTACAATTTTATGTAATTTTTCATCATGTATAAACAAGCATTTACACAACAAAGAGTAACGAAAAAATTTTTTGTAAAAGTACATTACATACATTTATATATTTCCCTTATTAATAGTGTGATCGCTACACTTATTATGTATGTAATTTCACATACTTTTTTTACAGTGCAGATGCGACAGAAAACCGTCTGCTGTGCTCTAGAAATTAATGCAGCAAATGTTTTTAGCAAATCACGATTAGCTACGGTAGCGAAAAAAATTTTTTTTCCAGTGTTGGACCGAGTTCCAGCATCGTGGATGCAGGTCTTTATTGCCGCGCTGCGCACGCGCGATAAACGGCGGGCACGGTTTCCCGTCCCACAAAATTTTCGAGGACGAGCGTCGGAGTTATTGGCTCGATCTCGACGGCGGGAGGGAGGGAGGGAGGCTCTGCCGCGTTATGCGTTTTTCAATAACAAATTTCGAGCGGCGATAGGCGAATTGACGGCGACGTGATGATGCATCGGGGCGCAAAATTGCACGAGGTCGCGACCGCCAATATCGCGCGTTATCACGCGCGCGATCATTTCCAGCACGTGACGAGCAGCAACATCCGTTTTCAAGGATATATATGTGTACGCGCCGCGCTCGATCCCCCGCAACGAATAATCCCATGGAAAATCTCCCGTAGGCTTACGCGTTATCGGTCTTATAATTAATAGCGCGGGAGTTTTAATCGGAGAATTTTGTTCGCGAGCGCGATCGAGGCGGCAATGAGGCCATCAATATCAATGACGAGATAACGTGCGCGTTACGAGTGGTATCGTTGAAAAAATATATAGAGTTACCGACATCGGATATTTAATGTTTCAAGTGCGCTAATGGTCTCGCGTTACAACATCTCGCGCCAAAAAGATGGACGTTAAGGGGATGCTGGAGTGATTCTGCACTTTTGCACCTTTCTAACCTAGAAACCATCAGTTCGCGGAAACACTTGTGTAATATACAAATTAAATGACTTATGTGTACAGATCGAAAGCAGCTTGCTATTCCGGCTAAATGAAAGAACAATATGGTATCACTGAAACTAAGTTTGTCAGTCTAATAAGAAATAATAGTGAGAAACACACATACAGTACATGTAGTATGTGTGTTGCTCACTATTAATTTTTATTAGACTTACAAATTTAGTTTCAGTGATGCCATATTGTTCTTTAATTTAGCCGGAATAGCAAGCTGCTTTCGATCTGTACACATGAGCCATTTAATTTGTATACTACACAAATGTTTCCACGAAACAGACAGTTTTCAGTGCAAAAGGTGCAAAAGTGCAAAATCACTCCAGCATCCCCTTAACAACGGGAGATTTAACCTAATGACGGCGGCGAGTTGCTCCGTGAAGAACAAAATGGAGAATCTATTTCTGAAAAACACGGGCCGCGCGCGTAGGCGCTATCATTTAAGATTTAAATCGCCTGACGTGAACTCGACGGCGATCTATTTATTCCCGCGTGATTAAAGCCAACGGCGCACGGTGCTACGTATCCTACTGGATTGCCTACGAGAGCCAATCAGGATTCAGCCTTAAGTCATCCGATCTAAAACTCTGCATCCTTATTGGCTCTCGTAAGCAATCCAGTAGGAAAAATGGTATCCTGTGCCGTTGGCTTCACCGCGCGAAGCCCCGCGGGCACGAAAATGCACGTCAGTTTAACACCACCGACTCGTCATTTTCGCCAACCGGGAGGGATCTCGCGTGGGCGGCGGATGCAGCGCGATCCTGACAGAGTCGATCGATCATCGTGACAGGACACGGTAATACCGCGGTACAGGGGCGGAGGAGGACGAGCGCGAGCGGGGGGAGGGGGGGAGAAAAAAGCGGGGTGAAGGAGAGGAGCGACGACGAGGGAAGAGAGACCCGGGATGCCGATGAGGTGCGCAAACAAGACATGTGTTTGCCACGGGAACGGTAAATCGATCGATTCGAGAGTCACGATAAGAGGAGAGTTCGCAAATACATTTTAGCCTCCCCCAAGAATCTAGCGGACCCTCCCGGGAAACGCGAACGCTTTGGCGGCGTGAGTTTTTTATTAATAATTCCACGGGGCCCGTCAATCTGGATCGCCGTGCGGAGAACGTCGGCGTCGATCGTACGAACGACGAATTTATCAATTACGGAAATTTGCGTCTACTCGTCGGAGTCTCGCGCGACGACCGTTGCCCGTTTCTACGCTGAAAACAATTGTCGCTACCGTAGAATATCATGATCTGCTAAAAGTATTTTGCTACCATAACTAAACATTTCTAGACCGCAGCAAACGGTTTGCTGTCGCACCTAATACAATAAGCACGGTAGCCAAATATTTAGCTATCACAATTAAATATTGGCTGTCCATATTTTCGAACTAAAATTTAGTTGCCACATGCAGTTTTTACGAGGGGTAAACGGGGTGTACAGATTTGTGGCATTAGTTTGGGCATTAAGTCTTGCTGAGGCATTATAAAGATAAAATAAGATAAAAAAATGCCCACTGGGCATTAGTGAGCATTGGTATACCTACAAGATTTTGGTCAGCGGTTTCCCCCTCGAGTTTTTAGCTACGACAGCTACGTTTCTTTCCGTGTACCAATGTAGAGATTAACTTTAATCTCGGTTAACTTACTTTAGATCTCTTTCTAGTTTTACAAATTAGCAAAAGGTAAAAAGTAATTCAAACCGAGATTAAAGTTGATCTGCATTGGTAGACACGGGCTTATATCGGAGATTAACGAGTCATAATTATCGTGTCCGAAGAAATTTACCGGCGGGCGATACTGATCGTTGTTTTCTTTTCAATCAAAAATTATCACGTGAGTATTAGGAGGATGATAAAATACTGAGAGTAGTGCATTATCGTGGCGACGAGAATAACAATAATGTGTGAACAACAAGCGGTAGGAGACGCGCGTTTACAATATCTCAGACAGTCGCGATGTCGCGATGTCGATAGTCCAATATTACTTGCGTAATAAATGTAAATCGAGACGAAAAGCGTTTTGCTCTTTCACCGTGTCGCAAATAATATACTGTTTGCATAAAATTACCAGACGTTCGTCGTAATTCTATATTGCAATTCGCTCTTCGTAATACTTAGATGTAGTTTTTCTGTACTGTGCGCAGGAATAAGTGGGCACTTATTAAAATCATTGATATGATAATGTTATAGAACGTTAATAATAGCAACAATCTTATACTTGCGTTTAGACGGAGCGTATAATCGCGAATGTGAGGCAATGCGATCCGCGATAGCATTATTTATCTTCGAAGACACTCCCGTATATTTCCCCTAATTTATTCTGCATGCGAGCACGTCCGATATCTTATTCAGGCGATGATTAATGAAGTACAACTATAGTCAATCGATAAAAGTGAAGAATCAACTGCATTTCGTTGTTATCTCTACTTTCGAACGAGAGATCTTGACGTGTTTTTTTTTTAAGCGATCACTTTTATCGATAAACTTAGCAAAGATACGATCGACCACGATTTCCAGTGTCGATTTTTGACGAGGGACGATCAGCGAGTTGCATCCCGTGGAAGTGAGTCCACGCACACCGAGCACAATGTTTACCAGCAGGAAAGCTGTTTTTCAGATACCTTATCATTTTATCACACTCATCCGCGAGTATCGTCTAACAATTTACCTCGTCCTCGTCCGCGCTCTTCGCTCACCGAGATAAAATACTTGTCGATCGATCGTATATGATGCGACAATATTTTGTCTATCACGCCGGTCTACTGATGCGATTTTCGAGTTATCAAATCAAGATTACTCAAAGATCGAGTCCCGAGATTGCACGAGGAAGGCGCGGAAGGTGCGACAGTTGAAAACAAATGGAATAAATTTAACTTGCTCGAGCGTCGCGACATTAATAACCATTACGAAATATTTGAATAACATAAAGTTCTCGACTCAAAGTTTCGAGCAAGCAATAAAGAAAATCTGTCGCGTAATGCGCGAATTGTTCGCATTATCAGTTGAGTATAAGATTAAGCTCGCAATGGCTCACAATGACATCCGATCGCGACTGCGTATCATTCAAAGGCGGAAGCTGTAACCTCGATATTGTATCCTGTGGAGATAGCAGTTTTACAGTCTGCAGTCTGGGGCTTTGCAATAAACAAAGTCGGCTGCGGGGCCGCGAATGCTCGTCAAACAGCCGTTAACTCGACAATTCAGAGTAAACCAGTTTTGCAGAATCTGCATACCTGCTCTCGCGCTTATATCCAACAACATCGTAGCGTTTCCTCGCTGACTTTATATTTTGTATATACATTTACGGAAATATACATTCAATCGCCAACCGTGCATTAGCTAATCCGAGTTAGCCGCCAGAGAAGAAATGAGAACTTAATTCGCGGAACGGGTTTCCTTGACCAGTCTCAACTTTGTAGGGAATGAAAACGCGAGCTAGAAAAGAAAACCGAAATACCTAATAAACTCACTTCGAATTCAATAGAGAACGGATTGTGGAAAACAAACAGGTTCGCTATATGTATATGTCGTGGCCCTCGAGAGAAAAAGACTTCGATATTCCCTGCAAATATATTTTGGAATTCCATCCGACGTTTTTAGGGATCGACGAAGATCTCGCGCACCTGATGCACTTTATTTTCAGTAATCGAGCGTATCGCGATTTTGTTTTCTACGATGCGAGGTAAAATTGGCAAGACAATTTTATCTTTCTGCCTGTGCGTAACGTTATCTAGACAAGCCTGTTTCGCGCACGAATCTGTATTCCGAGCAATGATAAATGACTCATTTATTTAAAAATATGGACTCGGTCGATTCTTACATGCGAGCCTTCGATTGGACATTCTCCTACGTTATTTATAGTCTGCGAAACATTTATACTTAAAAATAAAACATTGTTGTATGTCGCCACCGAATGTCTACTCAAATTCATGTCTTGATTGTAATACAATGCGGTTGCAATTGCTGAAAATATGACGTTTTCAAGATGATCACGTGCGCGTACTTGCATGTTCAAGAGATAAGATTGTGTAAGATTTCGCACAACAAACGGCGTGCTTTGATACAAAAGTAGCTGAAAGTAAAGCAACCGGGCGCGTAGATATTGAGTAAAGATCATAAAGGAACAGTCAACGTTATTTTTCATATCTTTTACTAATTTCTTTTCACGAGAAGAACGTGTACGGCATTACGAAACACACACGCGCTGCATTTACTTGGTTTGCGATAATCTTTGACCCGGTGACCCGCTGTCGCTCGCCGAGGGTGATCAGGGAACTTAAAGACGAAGACGCATCATCGGACGCGGCGAAGAAGAGCTTAGTTTCGTGAGCAACGATTCTCTACGCGCACAATAAATTATATTCAATAAAACTGAGCGTTTGGCGCAAAACAAACGAGAATCAAAACCGTGTCTTAAAATGAAACAAAGTTTCTAATGAACAGGAAAAAATTCGCAAGTTGACGTCAATACACACCCTTCAATGGTTTAGCGTTCATAAAATAGTTGGTTTTATAAAATGACGCAAAAAGAGGGCGCAAGAATGTGTCTGGAAATCAATGAGGTATAAAAATGATCCGATTGTACCCCGAGGTACACCAAACACGGTAAAAACTTTTACAATAGAGCACTCTAAGAAATATGGATGTGAATTCTCACAAATGGCGTGAAATAAGACCCATCCAGGTGTTTATACAATTCTCACCTTATCGATGTGAAATTAACATTGCGATCACGTCGCATGTCGTGAAAACAAAACAATATAGCGTCGAAGTTGGCACCGCGTTTGTCGGTGTGAAAGATTTTCTACAATATCGGTGTTAAAATTGACACCGTGTTATTTAACTACGTGAATGTGGTGAAAGTTTACACCACTATTTTTTAGAGTGAGGAACACTCACCATAATGGCAATGAGATGTCTGTAGTCATAAGGAAGCGGACCGTCGCCCCGTAGGATGAACTGCTGAGTCCGAAGGAAATGGTCCAGATACGACGGGTGTGAGGACATTACCCTCGAAACATGATCCAGCCTGTTGTTCTGTAGGAAAGCATCCATCAACAGGACATGCGTCTGCAACAATCAAAACACGCTGCTGTAAACAAAAGCGTCACGCGGATGTATTGTAGTGGAGTAGAGGCGCGTAGAATCGAACACATTTTTCGCGATATTTAACGTCGAGGGGGAGTCGCGAGAGAACCAACTTTGCTGAAAACACTACTTTGACGGAGCAACGAATATTCACTCCACCGCCGCATAAATTACTATTTGCCGGCCTCTCCTAGAAATGTATTCGCGGGCTTCGAGTTCCCCCCGCTCAGGTAGAAAGACCTGTCTTCGCATTAGGACCTATGCAATAATTGGCCAGCCGAATCGTGTTGTTTGGTCCCTAGCCCGTTATTTGTACGCTCGGGTCCCGGGGCCTCGGTCGAGAGATATGGGCCCGGGGCCTCGGTAAGTTTTCGGGCGTTAGAAAGTCACACCTTTTCACCTATGCGCCACATACACGGGAGAGACCGATATGGTTACCACATGTCTAATTAGGATTGGCACAACCCTAATAAATAGTAATATTTGGGACAGCTATATCCGTGGTTGTCATACCCACATTGGTGCGATAAGTAGTGGAGACAACTATACGCGTTTTGCGCAGCGAACTTAGCGAACTTTGCAACGCAAAACAATGTAGATGCCCCTGCTATTTACACGGCAACATTTTAATTTTAGTTATTTGTGCCTTAGCCGGTCTTTCCGTGTAACTGTACGAATCGATGCTTTGATGTGGCATAAAAATATACCACATGTATTTCCCCCAACGCGTACCGCCGGCTTCGCCAAAAAGCGCTAATCGCATTAGCGCGCACAAAGGGCGCTTAATCGCAATATTAATTATATAATCGCGTTCACGACACGTGGAGCGGGTTTCCGAGTCATCCGAAAACGATCCACGCAATCAGGTGTTTGCGTTGCATCACTGAATGGTTCGTCTTGCCTACTGCTGATTAATACATCACCTCGTGCCTTTGTGTACACGTCTCTCGCGAGAGATATGGGCATCTAGATAGATATCGGCATAAATTACAGCTCAGTACACTGGACACGCTACATAGAGTATCGCGCTTAATGACCGTGTTATACTCTGCCACGTGTGATTGCTCCTTAATCGATCGAGTAGAACAAACAGTAACACGGAATTTATTATGCGCGCGTTTAGGTTACAGGAAAAGGCGTTTGCGAGAACCGGCTGTCAAGGAACGCGTAATTAATACCGTTGAAAAAAAAAAGGAATGTCGCGGGTGGCTTTTTGCGCGCCCTGTCAGGCGAGATTTGAAAATTCACGGATCAGACGTCGCATATTACGATAATTCCGTACGCTTCCGGGTTTCTTTTTCTTCCTTCTTCCCTATTGTTCCCTAACGTAATCTAATACACAAACATTTGCCGATAGAATAATTCATCATTAGAAAATAAGCAAAGGTGACTGTACATAACTAGAGTCACGTTTTACCGCATAATGCAACTTACTTATAGATACGAGCTTGTTAATATTTATAGTTCCTGTTTGTCAGTTTTTCTTGCGCTACCGATATTGAAATCAACTCATCCATTATAAATATTCCGCCTGTCGCACTTATTAGTCGAGCTTCCGCCAGAGGAGAGTTCTGGTGATCGATCGAACGCTGACGCAATCACATTTAGGATCGTTTCGACAAATGCATCGGGGTACAAACAGTAGGGTAAACAGTCGTTCGTCATATCGCGAGTTAGCGCACGTGTCCGCAAGTCGAAGCGGCAATGGACTACTCCGTGGAAGCCCAGATTAGTCAGTTCGAACAACGTGTTCTTTGTCCGCCGCGAGATTCGTTTCGCGCAAACGGCCGGATCTCTCGAGGCCTGTGTCCAAGGTGCTAGAACTTGGTCTATCTGCGCCCTTCCGCAAAAGCTCTCGCTTATACACGGAGATAATTTTTTCTTAAATTTTACCCTGAAAGCTATTCCATAAAGGCTGCAAGTTGATTGGCTACACATTTCTCGGGACTGGAACGTGGACCAAGTTCTAGCATCGTCCCACGATTTTCAGGGCAAATTTTAAGAAAAAATTCTCTCTCCGTGTATAAGCGAGAACTCTTGCGGAAGGGCGCAGATAACACTTCTTCCAATCCCTGAATTTCACAGTCTCCCAACGTTCCTCATCGATATAGGATTCATTTCGTAAGTTACTTTCATGTATCAACCGTTCTGTTGTTAAGGGGATGTTGGAGTGATTCTGCACTTTCGCACCTTTTGCACTTAAAACTGTCTGTTTCGTGGAAAGATTTGTGTAATACACAAATTAAATGGCACGTGTACAGATGATCGAAAGCAGCTTGCTATTCCGGCTAAATTAAAGAACAATATGACATCACTGAAACTAAGTTTGTAAGTCTAATAAAAAATAATAGTGAGCAACACATACATACAGTACATGTAGTTATGTGTGTTGCTCACTATTATTTTTTATTAGACGTACAAACTTAGTTTCAGTGATGCCATATTGTTCTTTCATTTGGCCGGAATAGCAAGCTGCTTTCGATCTGTACACGTAAGCCATTTCATTTGTATATTACACAAATGTTTCCGCGAACTGACAGTTTTTAGGTTAGAAAGGTGCAAAAGTGCAAAATCACTCCAGCATCCCCTTAAAGCGTTACTAACACATTGAATGCATTGTCCACGCGTTATCGAAGTTTATTATGCGGTGGCGAGTATCTCGAGGAGACCTTTATCGACACTTCTGGTATCGGCGGTATCAATATTCATCCGACACCTATCGAAAACGAAGTGATAATAAACACCAGCGTAGTCAATAAGAGTCATTTAAATAACTGTGGTTCGGCTTCACCGTCGCCGAGCCACGGGCTGAAACGCGCGCAGTTATGACACGAGTCTACACAAATGCAAGCATAATTTGTCCCACAATGATGTGGTCGACCTTGTAACGAGTCGCTAACCTGTGCGCGCGCGCAAACCGCGTAAGACTTTTCACTTTGGGCCCGTCGGGCTTTCGCCGAGGAGCATCGACGTCCCGCACCGAACGTAACCCTTTGCCCGAGCGCAAGTGGGACGCGTCACGTTGCGCATCACCCGTTATAAGCATCGCCAGGAGAGGAAGAAAAAAAAGAGAGAGTGATAACAGAACACCGTGTACGTAACGAAACGCGCATGTGTGCCCCCGGCTTGAACGCATTCACCTCGCGGCGACTCGACGAATCGTTATCATTCCTAATCAGATTACAATTGAAAAACACCACGGACGGTTACAGCAGGCGTATTAACATACGCTTTCTTCGAGCAATCGCCGACGCGGTCGATTTCACCGTGCGATACCCGGCCGTAAACAAGCGAAACGAAACGGGTTCGAATAAATGCGCTTACCAGGCTAAAATCATCGCCGCGGAATGATTAATCGACGGCTTAGAGAGCGCGCCTGCGGCTGATTATTATTGTCCATTATGGGCGAAGGTTCGCTCCGATGGTAGAATACCGGTTTCTGTGCTCCAAAGTCGACCATTGAATTCGATGTAACCGAATCTTGCGGGATTCCCGCGCGTGCGAATGCGTAGATTAGTCGATAAACACACTCCCGAGTTTATAAATGAGGAAAGAAAGCGAAGAAGTGTGATTTTCCTCGTTCAATCTTGGCCTCTGCAAAAGTAAATACCAATTGTCCCTTGCCGAAATGACACCGATATGTTTAATTAGTTAAAAGGTATGCATATCCTGCGTGAGTGCTTTAGAGGTAAACAATTTGAAGTTCACATTTTTGCATTTTCTGAGTGACTTTGTTAAGCTGATTCATCGTTCACCTCTGAGGCACCGATATGTTTTAAACATTTGTGTAAATGTATACGTAATGCTCTTAATTACAATTTTTCTTCTGTGCCGCGAAAGATTAAGACCGAGGGGGAAATCGATTTGCGGCATTACTGGGCATTACTAGGCATTTTTTTGGCATTAGTTTGGGCACTGGGCCCTGCTGGGGCATTATAAAGATAAAATAATGCCCACTGGGCTTTGGTGTACAAGATTTCCCCCTCGATCAAGACTTTCGCATTTCATTATATTTTTTTTACATGTTCCTCTCTATGCGCCAAATTCACTTTTGCGAGTCGCTTTTCTTCCAAATCTTCGGGTTCGGAATTGAGTTTATTTTCGGCATGATTGCGGAAGCAACGCCGCGAGGGAGTTTCCGCCCGTTTCCCGTCAACGTCGCGACCAAATCGACCGGGCGGCGACACACGTGGGCTCGATTATGGACAGACGAAAGTACATTTAATAGCCGAAAGACTCATTAAGGAAGCTGGTTCTCGAATCGACCAATCTATTATTAAATGACGGCATGCGTTCGTTACCGAGAGCGGCCGGCTCGGCGGAAATAACAAATTACTCAATGTCAGTTAACCGACGTGGTAGCCGGAGGATCGAGAGAGTAGTCCGAGCACTTGGGAAAATTTATTCGATACTTTTCGACAGGAGGATCTCGAAGATCTCGCGCTCGCCCGAGGACGTCTTACCGCGTCTTCGTAGAGAAAGAGATCCCCAGGAGAGAAATTCATGTATCTGATTAATTAATTCGTGACTCATCGCAGATCGAATGTTTATCCAGAGACATATCTCAACTAATCATATTACATTTTATTGACTGTCGTCGATTTTGTAGAGATTCCTTTGCGCAATCGTCATCAAGAAACGCACGCAAAATATGATATTAATATTAATATACCGACGATTATCCAACATTCATCATTTCGCTACGTAAACATCCGCTTGATGGCTTGTTCTCGAGCCGGCTATTTTTCTGACTCCGCGTTACGTTGGCGAATGTAAAAACCCGCGAGCAACCATCTGCTACACGTCTCATCGGCAATCGACGATAGTCATTAACTGTTAAACGCTGGATATGATGCGAGACAAGTCGTTAAGTTGTTTTCAACATCGCTCTATTTTCGCAGCGTATTTTTTACCGCTAAATTAGCTATTAGATATACATCATGTGAACTTTCAGGAACTCCGCGGAATTGCTGTTTTATCCC